TGAATTAACAAAAATGGGTAATAGTAATATAATGATCCTGGCTACTTAATATTATTCTATTGTTAGGACTACAAAAATACTTTTGTTCAAGTAAACATTTCTCATCTATGTAAGTACTGAAGAACTGCATGGTGTTACTTAGGAGTGATAGGGAATATGTTACCAACTCCTTGATCATATCATGCCAAGCCAGATAGTGAAAAGTATCAAGCTATGGAGCATTTGTTTATTTTAATCAAATTATATAAGGACCTCAAAATGATTCATCAATGATTCAACTTGTTTGTTCTCAGTGAACAAGAGCAAGAAAAAATATGCTCTCCCATGATAACATCTCAGTCACGGTGGTGCCCATACTCCTCTGGTTCCTGTTTTCTTCTTTCCGTGGTCTTTGCTCTGACAGTCACCCCCTGGTGACTTTCTGGTTTGGTGTCATTCTCTAGGCGGGCCCTAATCTCAAGAGTGACAGCAGTTAGACACTAAGATGTAGTCTGCTTTATCCTATCCTGAAAAGTCTAGTTTCTATCTTCTAAAGCAGCCCTAAGAGCCAGGAACTCAGACCAGATGGAATGGTGCAATTTCTGCTGAACAGGAACACAAGTCAGTAGAAGCCCCAAGAGCAATAAAAGCTGGAGATTAGCCTGAAAAGCCTAAGTCGACTCATATCCATGTCGTAGTTTTTCTGTTTATCACCATAATCTCCCCTCTAGATATGGAGAGAGTTGCATGACCTATGGGCAGTCCTATGTCTAGTTGTTGCTAAATTACACGGCATGACCTTCTTTTACTGTAGTTAATGATTGTTGTGAACTACTTCCTGGCTGTGTGGCTATGAGCAAGGTATATATTCTCTCAGGGCCTCTGTTTCCCTCATCTGCCAAACAATGATAATATGTGCCAAATAATTTTTGCTGTTATTATTATTATTGCTTCATCTCTACAAGATTGAGCCCTACTGGGAAGGTGATGCCCAGTGCAGCTTTGACCCAGGTTTCTGGTCAGAACCCCACCTGTCCTGTTAAGAGAACTTCAGTAAATCCATGTTCTCTATTCTTATTTTTCTGTCTGTCTTCACAAACTCTTTTATGGCTCCTTGCTTTCAAGTCAAATGATCCAAATGTTTTTTCCTAAAATTAATTTAACTTCCAGTTATACTAGCTAGTGTCGATGACTTTCCCTACAACTGCACCACAGAGTCTCCCTTTATCACT